ATTCGAGAAAAATGTACGTCCGTTAGATCGACCGATTAGCATCAATTATGCAGATCGGTCGTGACTGCCCTCAATTGTCTCATCATATACTCTCTCTATTAGCCCGTATTTAGGTTTCCTCACACTCTAGAAAGGTGAGTAGCCTTGCGTCGTCGGCAACCTTTCTCAAGGCTTCTAGTTCCGATTCGGACTGTGTTGTGAAAGATCGCCTGTTTCTGGATCTCACCAAGGAATTTACTGTCTCCGGATGGGTTCAACTGATGCCCGTCAATGAAGGAAAATCGGCTGGGGATATCCTATCAATCGAATCTCCTTCTTTTCCTTCTCCAATTTTCTCAATATGGGTCGAATTTCCCGCAAGTACTGTCCATTTTTCCTGCATGCAAGCAGGGAATGACACGATCAAGATAGTAAAGACCGGCGTCACGGCCCCTAAGACCACGTTCCACCTAGCTATCGAGTACGATTTAGGCGCTTTTACGGTATATGTGAACGGAGAAAAATGTAAGACAATCCCAGAAGCGTGCCCATTGCCCAACCCTGATCACGTATGTCTCTTCCTTCAAGAGGCGAGATCTTCGTTCAACTTGTAGGTATAACCAGAAGCTCATCATCATCGGACGGTCGGAGTCCAAAATTGATAGGAATCTTTCCTGTACCAGACAGATTTCTGGCATAAAGATATACTCAGAGAGTTTAGATGAGGTCAGGAATGACGTTCTTTTGATGAATCGGGCACTAAAATTTACTACTGAAGGGAGACGTCAAGGCCATTTTCGCGGAGTTGCGGGAAACACTGGACACAAGCACGAGTGAAGCTGTAGCTCTGTAGATTAGAGCTTATGAAGTTGTAGACTGAACACTCTGCAAAATGTCACCTGATAAAATGAGTTTTTCCATTGGGGGATTGTCTATAGGATCGTTGGGCCAGTGTATCATGAAGTAGGTGTATCCCTTGATGCAGCCCTTCTATAAGTCTTATCAAATAGATGAAGAGCTCAATTTTTTCGTCGAAG